AAATTCTAGGAGATATCCCTTCATTGACCATTTACTCGATCACCCATAGCGGTGATATAGTCTTCTATAACCGACATGTTCAAATCATGGAAGGCTATATCACCGCTGTGGAAGATCGCTGAGTACCTGCGGGGGGGGGGGGGGATACCTCCTAAAACGCCTAAATCTACTTTGAAGCTGGCGTGGTCGTAGATGTTTGGATATCCTCGTTGTATGCTTGTGAGCTATCTTTTTCTCTTAGCCGTCTCTGGTAACCTTCGGAGTATTGTTGTTCTGATCCATGTACTGAGTGACAATCGTTGGTTCAGGTAGCGGGGTACATAGAGCCATCATGTATCGTTTTTTGCTTCGCCTGTGCCAGGCCATGCTATTTAGTGGTGTCACTGATGAATGGTGCGTCCTTAATTAGGCGAAGGATCTCTCCAACGAGTCTCCATCAAGGACAGACGAGATAAGCATGCATAGCACCTACGCCTGCACCCGTCTTTATGCCCGTATGCTGTGTGCCTACGTTGTTCCTCGGGATAGAATACTCTAGATTCTTGGCGTGATCTTATATGAAACTCGATGTGAGTTATTATTATTAGAGCGTTTAAGCTCACTCGAGTTTTTTGTTAAACAAAAATATCAAGAAAAAAACATGCGGCCAAGTGACGAGTCCCGACGAAACTAGGGTTGTAAAGGAAATATTGAAGCCATATCCTGTTGATCCTATGTCTGATCATAACCTCGTTGGCTTTAGCGTCTCTCCGCCTGCATACGTTTTTCTTGGTATTTCTTTTTTAACAAAAAAAAAAGAGGTGAGCTTAAACGCTCTATTGAGACGCATTTGTAACGGGTTTTACCCAACTTCATACTGATTGTGGTAAATGGCGTTGTGTTGGCATGAAGTATTGGTGATGCAGTGATGCGCCGGTGATGTGGTGATAGAGGGAAAAAATAAGTTCGGTGGGAAAGTGTGTGTTTACATATGGTGGGTAAGGGCTAATGTGGGATAGTCCTAAGTAGGTAACATGTCATAATGACGCGTCTACGGTGTGAACTTATGACGATAGAGTTACGGCTGGATCCGCGCCCCTCCCACAGCCCGATTATTCAATCCCCTAGGGGTTTATCTCTCTGCCGATATATGCTGCTGATGTATCCTTAGGGCAGATCTCCGTACAAGGGATTCGGAAGGGAACTACTAGTATGCAATCTGGCGATAATTACATAGACAGGACAAATCTTTTCGTGAGCCTTTGGTCATCATGCAATAGGGGTATAGCCCCTCGAACTACTACGGGCGCCTGGTGGTGAGATGCATTCACGAACAATCACTCGACCTAAACACCATGCACGGGGATTGAGGGAAGGAAGGAAGGAGTGTGAGGAATATGGGAAATTCGGTGGTAGAAGTTTATTTCTCAGAGTAACTTTCCCACATCGTAGTTTTCCACGTCTGGCCGTGTTAAGCTTGGCTCTTGGGGCGCGGGCGTGGTGTTGGACACATAACGGCTCACTAAATGACAGCGAGACAAGGCGAATCGTGTAGACACTGTCATCTTCGATCCGTGTGTATATAACGAGTTAGACCTCCCTAGATATCAGTTTTTGAGTTACTGTCACCGCTTGACCCTTTTCTCCAGTGAGAACCTGCAAAACCAACTTTTAGTGGGACCTCGTGTCGAGTGATAGTTTGTGATTAACCCAACCAAAGAACTAACTCCCCGCCACCATCAGCGTTGAGTTCATCCGACCGTATAAACATCTCTTCATGACTGGACACAAATAATCTACGAGTCTGGGAATCCGGAAATCTTTAGTATCCTAGCTAGCCTCAAGCTTAAATCTACTTGTATGTTCCGTCCACACGTTCCCATTGACAGTCGGGGGTGATTACGGTAGGGGATGAGAGGTGTCTTTTGGGATTTGGAGTCTCAGAATTCGATTAAGCTTAGACGGCCGGGATTATTGTCTACTTGAGTTGACAGGTGGATCATCCGATTGCCACCAGGAAAATGAGTGGTTGGGAGAGTATGGGATAAACTCCAAGCGGATCTACATTGATCAAGTCTCGAGAAGTGGAAGAAGGTTACAAGATAAAATGAAAGCATTGGTTTGTATTAGTATCCTACACTTATCCCTGTAACTGTCAGTAATTATCCATATCACTTCGTCACTTGCTAATCTACATGTTCTACCCCTAATTTCATATAATCTAGGGCATCGGAGTCTGGACGTCCTTCTTTGCTGCGGCATCTTCTTTTGGAGGTCTTGCTCCAAATATCGAAGTTCCGACTCTAGTTATACCTCATAGTCAGTATCATTCTCCCACTAAAGAGCGAAGCAGACTCACCGGACATTAGTAGCCCCGAGCTTAATGCCCTGCTCGTAATCTTCACTCATCCCCATACTCAACTCCAGCGTGTTTGTCTCTCGCCCCAAAGTCTTCGCAACCTCATCTCTTGTCCTAGACAACAGGATAAAGTCCTCATTCGGCACCTCGCTCTCTTTCGAGCGCCCAATATCACCAATAGTCATGAACCCCTGTAGTGTTAAGTGGGGACACTTCTCAATAACATGTTTCGCCAACTCCAGTGTATCGCTCGGCTCGCAGCCGGACTTCGATTCCTCGCCTATGGCGCGGTTAGCTTGGATCAGATCGGCAGATTAGGTATGTAGGGTAAGATACCGGAGGTGTTGACCTGGATGAAGACGCGTAGCTTCTGGGCGTCAGGGTTCTTGTCAAGGAGCACGGCACGGCCCTTGTTGAGGGCGTCGGCCTTCTTGGAGGCGTCGAGCGACTCGACAGCCCATAGGTTTGGGATGGAGGAGGCGAGTTGCTTGCACTTGTTTGTTTGGAGAGTGCCGATAAAGTGCCACTGGATGTCAGAAGGGAGGACGGGGGCTTTCTCGAACAATTCTTTTTATTTTTTTGGTTTGAGGGGTTAGCTGACGAAATCCCCGGACGGGATGTGATATGATATTTGCGTGGGAAAATCGGGCTCGGGCTCGGGGGCTAAAAAGACACATACCCTGTGAATAGTTCTCACCATAGTGGGTGTGCTTTGTGGCATTGTACAGAGCTTGAATATCGGAGGCCGGTTTTCTTTTCGACACGGCGACTAGACGTACCTATCCCGTCCGTTTTTATTAGCATACCTGATTTTTTTGAAGTCTCTCTACAGAACCGAACACAAAAATGCAGATCTCCAACATAACATACATTACAGCCTGGGGAGGCCACAGCATTGATACGCTTCACAACACTATTAAAGCCAGAGACGAGGGCTTGGGCGCGAGCTGCCATTTCTGCTTCGGGCACTTCGGATGTAGGAGCAGAAGAAGACGACGAGGACATGATATGATATGATGAGATATGATGAGATATGATGCTGCTGCTGCTGCTGGACCGTGTTCAGAGAGCTGCGATGATGTTGCTGCTACTAGGGACGGTATAAGATCAGCAGGTCGTAATTTCGGCTTGTACTCGTTTATCTCGCAAGCTAGGTCGTCGCCAAAGAGAGAGATATGAGATTGAGACTGATCCGATGCTCTTGCACCCCTTGTAGAGTTATTTGTTTAGGCTTAAGCTGAGCGAAGCAGCAACCAGCAACACAGACAGCACTTTACCTTGTACCGTGGTTGATCCTCGTGAGGTTGTGACGTTATGGGGTTGATCTCCTCCGCCCTAACCCGTATGTGTAAACCACGCTCTCTTGGCATGGAAAGAGAAAAAAACGCCCTTCTCCTTCACCCTGCCGCCGGCGGCATGCGTGTTTCACGATGGTGCGGGATACATGCAAGCCACTATCACCCGTTTTGATTTCCAGAAGAAATCTAGGGGCCTGGGGCAGACTGTCGGTTCCCGCCGAGAAAAGCAGGTTTCTGGTGGTGTGGGTTGCGCGGGTCAATTTGGCTTCTAGACTACAACTGGGAATCCGAGACTCTGGGGTGGTGAGCCCTTTTTTTTTTTCTCCGTCTGTCCCGGGCGCTGGTTGCGGTTGCGGTTGCGGTTGCGGGTTCGTGGGTTTTGGGACCCGATGACGGCATTGATGGTGCCTGAATTCTGCCTACAGCAGCGTCTGGCGGGTACTGCTTGACGTAGAGATGTACCTGCGTGGAGTGCCATCTACGTCTTTGGCTCGCCAGATTAATTGGTACGCATCCTTTACTGGTTTACTGGATGAGCATCTTGAGCTGAAGAACCAAAGGCGGCATATGTATATCGGCGCTCTTATATATGCAGCTCCCAATTAGTCTACCTCTAATTAAACGTCCTCACAAATAGTAACTTCTAACTCGAAGAGTAGATCCATAGTAGCAAACATCACATTGGATCGCATCACATCACCCCAACACCCTTGAAAAAAAGGAGAATCCCCACATGCACTACTACGGTGCTACGGACAAGTGCAATTTGCGCCCCCCGCCGTCAAGGAAGGAATCATGTCCGGCTTTTTCTTTTTTGTTTGGGCCAAGGATGCACTTGTTTTTCTTTCTCTTGGATCAGTTAGTTGCGCTTGGGCCGTCCCTTTGTAACAACTAGCTACTTGCTAGTATGTAGCCAAACTTATTGCATATAACTATCAGATCGGATCTTCTTTTTGTGAGGAGAAAAAAGATACTCTCTCTCACCCCCTGGATTCGATCTACTTTACCTAGGTATTGTATTACGCTCTTTAAGGTTGTGTGGGATTTCTTGACGTATTTGCGCACTTTTTCAAGGCAGCAGCAGTCGAGCAGAGTTATTTGATCATTCGGGGTTTTGATCCTTCACCCTCTTTTTTTATCTTTTTTTATCTAGCACGCGACCATTTTTACTACTGCCACTTAAGTCAGTAGCGGATACTTATTCACTCAAATATAATATCCTCAAGGGCCCTGCCAAACATCAGCAACCCCACTAGCAAGCAAGCAAACCAAGGAAACCAAAGAAAGAGGAACCATTATCTCAGGCAGTGCCTGAAACCAACAAACAAAACGCCATTCTTTATCCTTTCACCAACCACCCAACAATGAAATCCCCAACCTCCCCGCGCAACAGTGGCTTCGTCCAACTCGGAGCCCTCGGCCCCAACCTCTCACACTCACACTCCCGCGACCACATCGTCGACATCCCACTCACTCCCATCAAGAGCAACACCTCCAACATCACCACCACCGGCGCCCGCAAGGAAGGCCAAAACCTCGACAACCGCCCCGACTTTGGCCGCGCAAACACCCAGGAAACACAGGACAACGGCGGCATCTTCCACAAGCACATGGGCCGGCGGCGCGGGCCGCATATTGGAGGAGATGCGAGCCTGGTGGACGATGAGGGGGCGCTGACGACGATGGGAAGGCTCTATGAGAGGGTGCTCAACTTTTCGATCGTGACGAGGTATCTGCTGTATATTATCCCGTTGTCGCTGTGCTTTGTCATGGTGATATTGGTGGGGCTGTTTGCGGCGCCCGAGGCGAGGATTGGCGGGGATGAGAGGCATAAGGGGGTGAAGATTGTGTGGTTCTTTGTGTGGGTATGTGGGATTCTCTTCTCTCTGTTCTGTTTTGTTCTGGTGATTTTTATGGTTGTGAGTGAGAATGGTTGCGAGAATGGGAGTGGTTGTGGATGTGATATATCGGGTTGAGTGCTCGAGTAAGAATGCTGACATTTTTCCCTCCCTCCGTAGCTCAACGTCGTCTGGTGCTCGCTCTGGGTGTCGAAACTCGTCGCAAAAGCTCTCCCGGCGATCTTCCAGACACTCATCGGCGTGGTCAGCAGCGGTGTCAAGAAATATGCCCTCGTTATCAAAGCCCTCGAGGTGCCGATCTCGCTCGTCGGTTGGGCCATTGCCTCTCTGTGCTCGTTCCTGCCGGTAAGCTCTCACATGTCAATGATTCCCGCTACACAAAAAACTAACCCCATGCCACCACCACACAGCTCATGACCCGCAACCCGGACCAACTCTCATTAGGCGACACGGGCATCCGCGAATGGCAGCGCCGCCTCAATCTTGTTCTCATCGCCTGCCTTGTCTCGTCGCTCGTATACCTAGGCGAGAAGCTCATCATCCAGATCGTCTCCGTCGACTACCACCGCAAACAGTTCGCGCAGCGCATAAAGACCAACAAAGAGAATGTACGCTTCCTCAGCCAGCTGTACGAGGCCTCGCGCGCCCTCTTCCCCAGCTACACCGAGTTCGCCGAGGAGGACTACATCATCAACCAGTCGCTCGCCTCGACGCTCATCGTGCCGACAAAGAGCGGGTCGGCGACGCCCATGCGCGCCATTCTCGGTAATATTAACGTCGTGCAGGATAAGGTCACCAGCGCCTTCGGAAACATTGCGCAGGAGGTTACGGGGAATAAGAATGTGTTTAACCCCAACAGTGCTTACTCTGTGGTGATTAATGCGCTGCAGAGGAAGCGGTCGAGCGAGGCCCTGGCGAGGAGGATCTGGATGTCATTTGTGTCGGAGGGGAACACGAGTCTCGAGAAGGAGGATCTTCTGGAGGTGATGGGTAGCCAGTATGAGCAGGCGGCGCTCGAGTGCTTTGCAAGTCTGGATTCGGACGGGAATGGCGATGTCAGTTTGGACGAGATGATTATGCATGTCGTGCAGATCCACAACGAGCGCAAAGACGTGGGAAAGAGTATGCAGGATGTGGTAAGTATCGACTTTACATGAAATTTGAAAATGCGGCCACAGCAGCTAATGTGATATCAGGACAATGCCATCCGCGCTCTTGATAGTGTTCTCGGCTTCATAGTCTTCGTTATCGTTGTCATGGTCTTCGTCGTCTCACAGCAGTCCAGCGTCGGCACGACCCTCGCCGGCGCCGGCACTGTGCTCATCTCCCTCTCCTTCGTCTTCGCCATCACCGCTCAGGAGATCCTGGGATCTTGCATCTTCCTCTTCGTTAAGCACCCCTTTGACGTCGGTGACCGCGTCGACATCGACGACAAGCGCTACGTTGTCGAACACATCTCGCTCCTCTACTCAGTGTTCAAATGTCTCGATAACCAAAAGGTCACCCAAGTCCCCAACAACGTTCTAAACACCAAATGGGTCGAAAACGTCTCGCGCTCAAAATACATGACCGAGTTTGTCAAGATCGGCGTCAACTACGACACCACACTCGAGGACATCCAGACACTCAAGGAGGAGCTCATGCTCTTCGTGCGCGACAACAGCCGCGACTTTCAGCAGGACTTTGAGGTCGAGGTCGTGGGCATCAATGATCTGGACCGCCTCGTGATTAGGCTCGAGATCCGGCACAAGAGCAACTGGGCCAACGAGCAGCTCACACTGCAGAGACGCAACAAGTTCTTCTGCGCGCTCGTCCTCATCCTAAAGAAGATCCCCATCTACGGCGCCGGCAAGGGCGACCCCAGTATCGGCGAAGAGGGTAAGCCAATGTACACCGTCGCAATCCCCGACGAGCTCGCCCAGGTCAACATGAAGAAGGCCGCCGACACCAAAGCCAAGAAGCGCTGGGACGCGCCCAAAGACGACGACGAACCCGAGCCGGAAGCGGCGAGAGGTAAGGAGCCGGGCTACTTCAGCCCCAGCACGACCATCAACGAGGGCGTGGTACACACCGGTGCGAGCTACCAGGCATATGTGACGTCGCCGCCGGAGGAGCGCAGCAGGGGCCGCAGCAGCGCGGAGAGTAGGAGGGACGATGTGGAGGAGGTGAGGAATCTGTTGAAGAGGAATTCCACGAGGGGACGGAGGAAGAGGAGCGTGTTGCCGGAGTTGAATACGCATGGGTATTCACCCTCGCCGTCGCAGTCCCAGTCGCAGTCGCATTCGCCGGTGCCGCAGATACAGTACCCGCAGCAGCAGCAGCAGCTGGGCGCGAATAATCCGTACCAGCAGCAGCAGCAGGGTGGGGCGGCGCCGCCGTATGGGAGGGTATAGCGGTGTGTAGGTGTGTATGAGTGGGGTAGAGCAGAGTAGATGCGGGTGGGGGGTTTGAGGGGCTGGCTCCAGGAACCACGGTGGCGTTTTTTATTATCGTTTTTACTATTATTCTTATTTTTTTTACTTTCTGTGCGGTATTATAATCATATGGGTGGCTTCTTTTTTCGAATTCTTCTTGTATGTACACAGTTACTTTTAACCCGGATCGGAGAATATTAAAAAAATTTGTTCTCTGCTGTAATTGACTGTGACCGCGTGGAATCCTGTTCAACCATGGCCTTGATCTAAAGAAATGGCAATTAACTGGAGAAGGCCGCTGGAGACGTGTGTAGGAAAGTAATCGAATTATCTTTGTGGAGTGCTGGACAGAAAGTACCCCACCCGGTGGCACGCAGTTAGGTAGAGAGTGCGTCATGAATTATCACTCGACAATATATCTCATTGTCTTTTAGACAGAGGCTAAAGGCGGTACAAACCTACGAGAAAGCATGAAAAGTCCACCTATCATGGATATCGCGCTCACTCTTATGGATATGGTTGGCCTAGGCTTGGTCGGTCTCCGCAGAGGCTAGTACTTTAGTACTTACTAGTAACACACCACCCCTCCATAAGCGCATTAAGAAAATTCATACCATCTACCGCCGTAGCCCAGTGTCTATGGTGTCGCCCAGAGGGGCCGAGGTCGGCGGTTTGAATCGCCCACCTCCCAGGCTTGGTGAAAACACTGTGTGACTGGGTGGGAAGGAGCAGAGCGGGATGCCTCTCCTTTTTGTTGCTCTTGACCTTGGAACGGGATTATCTACCCATGGCCCGCTCTCGCAATTGCCCACCGCCTCCGGTAGTGGCCTATTTAAATTTGGAATATCAGTCAATTCAAGCCATCGTTATAGTCCCACCTCCAGTACTTCCTCCCTCTTACCTTCCAGCTCCAATACTTCTCATCCCCAGTACATCATATAACTAGCATGGCCTACCTCGCGACCACGAGTTACTGGTTTTGCGTGCGGATATCCATTTGATCCTTTTACTCCAATTAATTGTATACAACCTCTCCACGCAAAGTTCAGGAGGCCTTTTGTCTCTATTGCCCCTCCTGAAGGACCCGTAGTCCAAGATCGCCGAAGGTGGAGGGTTCATATTACTAGATCTGAGGCAAAGTGTCTAGCCCCAATCACCGTACACTGTTCTCTCAGTCTAGATGCGACGTTAGCATGATAGATACTTGTAATAGTGCAATGAAAAAACAGAATGTCTGTACGTGTTATAATTCGGAGGTGGTACTCATGAAATGCAGTGTTATATTGCAATATGGGACGAATGGCCGAATAGTGCCTACATCATAGTGCATGCTCTGTAGTCTTCGGGGCTGATGTGCTGGGCGTCTTGCTATAAGCAAGTGTCTAACGATCATGTAGCTTAATAAACTACATCTCATTCGTTTTAATTCGATATTCGAGCTATCTATGAGATCGAGTGATACCTCATGACTCGAAGGGCATTGAACCATTCAACCTGATGATAATGAAAGGCAGAGGGTATTCCCGAGAACGCCTTCCTATGTCCCGGTACTGTGCAGTCCTAATTGAACCAAGTATCATCACTCACATGTAGCTCTCGATTTCAGTACCATCATGAAGAACATGCGTGTACAGTCGCAGGTTCCAGCTCTGAAAGCTTTACTTCTGACTGATTCGAGATAGCGCAATACTAGGGTTTACTGATGGTGACAGTAAGTGGATCTTTGGAGGGCTTTTAACCTCTTTCTGTGGCTATAATGGTGAAAAAACGACTGTAATTAATCTGATAAGATAAAGAAAGACGGAACTGCAGAAGCTTAAGTTGATGCGGTATTGAGATAGAGTTGTACGCGTGGGCCAGCAGATGATGCCGATGGTAAACTAGCTTGATTGGTACATTTAAGACTCTTCTCACCCTACCGTACCAGGGCCAATCCTAAACGCTAGCGGAACATCAAATACTATAAATATCCTTCTTCCGGCCCTCTTTTCCTCCTTCTCTCTCTTCTTTTCTTCTCATCTCCTCCATCATCATCACGTCAACCCCCTGTTCCTGCATCGGTTATCTCTCTCAGTTTCACATACGAAATAAACGGTCATCTTCGAACAAGTCGGTCTCTGGGCTACGGCCGAGAGATCGAGCATCTGACTTATTGGCTTGCCTTGCTTGTTTGGGACACGAGGTTCCTCCGGAGGAAACTCGCGTCCCGAACGAGTCGGTTTCTGGGCTACGGCCGAGGGATCGAGCTCTATAATTTGAATCGCTTGCTGGCCTTGCTCATTCATTCGGGTTTAGGCTCGAGATATGCCTTCATAAACCTGAACGAGTCTATCTCGACCATAAACCTGAACGAGTCGATCTTTGGGCTGCGGCCGAGGGATCGAGCCTTGTTTCCAGTTGAGATCAATGCACTTTTTGAAACACCCTTCTTGTAGCTAGCTGACTCTGACAAAATAGGGCGGCATTAGAGGCTTTACTTCACTAAGGCCATTGAAGGCCAGTTTTTGCCATCTCACTGAGGAGCTATGTTAGCTTTTGATGACTCTGGGGGAATGAACTGATCGCTTTCTGCGCACGACAAATGACTACAGCCGCAGACTTCGGTTTCTGTAGTAAAAACGCTGAAATATTACAGGGACGTGTACACAGAGGACTTTTGCAACTCTACTGTGAGCAGTGATCTATATCACCCCTAACCTATAGAAACAGCCTGACCTCAACTGATAAACTACTACATTGATTGTTCAAGCTGATAAACTAGCCATCCTTAGGTCTTCAACATAGCATTTGCGTGTTCGTGAAAGGGCTGATAGCCAGTCAACTAATGATTGAAAGGTTGTCAGGGTCTGGTTGGTCAAACAGGTTACTAAAACTTCCTATCGCTAATCACTAGCTAAGAGCCGAGGGGAAAAGGGATTATGCTTAATGAATGAGTCGATAAGGCAGGAGTTACTTGGGCCTCGAGTCTGGGCTTGTCTTTGATGGGCCCCTGTGCCCAGAAATGGGAATAGGGAAACCGGGAAAAGAGCCATAACTCCCAGTTCAAAAGGGGATTTGAGCTCGGAGCCTAGGGGACTCGAGGAGGGTGGGAAGGGCGTGTAGCTGAGGGGTTAGTCCCGGAAGCAGCGCGATGGAGTTTAAAATGAGGTGGAGGGAGAATTGCAATTCCCATAGCAAGTAGGACACGGTGTAAGGATAGAGTACCGACAAGGGTTAGTCGATAGTTAATTAGAAACACTGTATTCACAGCCAGAGAGAACACTCGGCACTTCACAAATGGAACAGATATACCAGACCAGCTGGTACGCATATCTTCACGGTTAGACGATTCTTCCTCTATCATCAACTAAGTCGCTTACATTACATTAAGCCTGACTTTCACACTGCCACGACGAGAATACTTTTGGCCACTATCGGAATGAGACATATAGTGATATTTACTGGTTAGCTTTCATGGTCTTGAGCACTGCACCGGGGATGGGAATAACCTGTGGAATTCTGCGAGGTGGTACATACATGTACAGCGATAGGTAATAAGTGATGGAACGGTCAGAGGTGCAGTTATGCCTGAAAACACCATATGTTGGTGGCGTTTCACCCAAAACAGGTGTCACTCTGTTTCAGTCCGTTCCATCACTTATTACCTACCGCTGTACTTAAATTTAAACAGCCTCCTTCCCTCTTATCCAGGCCACCTTTCATATAGGTGACAGGTTTTATAGGGCATGGGGAGATACTCTAAACTTCGGGTATATAAAGGGCTGTGATCTAGAGTATCTGTACGGCTAGGCGGTCGGTGCCATCAAATTAATGAATTAAAAAAAAAAAAAAAAGGTTGGTGCAATCACAAATTATCACTCGGGGAAATGATCGCAAACGGATGGTTGTATAGTTGGCTTTTAGGTGACCCGGACATGTCGCACAGTCAAAGGCGCAGTTATACATACACCGTGTCCGTACATGAAAACAGCGAGTTGACGTCCAACTCTCCAACCACGCCCACAAAGCACTCAAGCCCCCCATCACCACTTCTCACGACGAAATCCAACCAGCCGGGGGTGTCTGCCTGATCGACCATTCACCTCCGCCTTAACCCGAAAGTGAAGCGATGTGTTCCCTTTTATCTTTCTCATGCAATGCTTTTCGTTCATGCCCCCTAACAAGTGAGTGGAGAAATACCAACCCAATGTTACCCACATGCACCCCCCAACGCAAACGCAGGTAGGTATATTGGCGTCTCTCGAGAAGTCATCTATCTTACATGTCCCATCCACATCTAGAGAAAGAAAAGAGAACAGTGGAAAAAGTACTATATATACAAATATATGATACATACCAAACTCTAAAAACATATACGCCAGGAATATTTATCAGGTATTGAGTTTCAACTTACTTATTTATGCAGGCAGTGAGGCAGCTATGGCTAACTAACAAGCAAAAAAGAGCGATGGACAGAAAATAAGGGGGGAAAGAAGGGGGGAATGGTCTACTTCTCCTCTTCCTCCTTTTTCTTCTCCTCCTCCTCCTCCTCTTCCTGCCTCTTCTCCTCCTCCGCAGCTTCAAAATCGTCCAACAGCCCCATCGCCTCCATCAAGAAGTCTTTTTTCTCCTCCTGCACTGGCGTAACTCCCTCCTCCTTTACCTCCTGCCCCGCCACCGCCGCCGCCGCTGCCTCTCCACCCTCCACCGCACCCTCAGCAGGCTGCACATCCGCAAAGTACGGCTCCACCTTACATCCCAACTTTGCCAACCTCACCGCCTCAGTCGACCACGTCACCTCCTCCTCGGTCCCGCCATCCCTCCTCACCACCATCGACTTCACCGTTTTTCCATCGGCCTTCTTGAACTTCACACGCGGCTCCTTATCCGCATGCTCCAGCACATTATCCTCTAAAATTACGCTCACAATCTTACCCTGCGGGCGCCGGTCCATCCCCGCCGACAGCGGATCCGCCAGCTCGTCAGCGCGCCGTGCAAACGGCCATGACGCCACGCGCCCCGCGTACGTTATGTACTCACGCGGGCGGGTGATGCGGTGCAGAATGTAGAGGTGGTTGGCACCGGGGGGGTGTATGCCACGGCAGTAGAATGTCGACGTGAGCCAGATGGTAGTGGCGCTCTTGTCGCCTCCCTTTGCCTCGGCTTCAATGCGGTGTCGGACGGACGGAGAGAGCAGCATGTCTGTGCGGCCGATGGGGAGCTTCCCGAGCTCGTCGCCGGTGTTCCATTTCACGGCCAGAAGCATGCGGCAGTGCATGCCGAGGTCGCGGAAAGCTTGCTTGACGGCGGGAAAGTCGGTCTCGAGGCTGAGGCCGACAAGGACGTTTGTAGGGTAGTTGTCCTTCTCGAGGAGCTTCATGACGATGTCCGTGACGGCGGTCTGGGGGTATCCTGCGACGCGCATGCCCTCCGGCACCGTGTCCTCGTCCTGGATTGCGTCCTGGACCATCTTCTCGGTCTTGTTGAGCTCGGCGACGATGTCTTCCTTGCTCAAGTGGCGCAGTGCCGGCAGCGGGGCGTCGCGCAGTTTGCGGGTGCGTACGTCGTAGGCCAGGACGTGGTGGTGCAGGTGGTCCGGCACGTACTGTGTGACTTCATTGTGCTCGAGCGGCGGGTCCTCGATCGAGAGGAGCGAGTTGCTTCTCGCCTTGCGGCGCCACTCCTCGCCCGGCTGGGCCCCGCTGAACGTTGCGGGCGCGGTGTCCATGTTGAGCTGCGGGGGCTGTAGCCACTGGCGGTGGTGGTGCACGAGGAAGCGCTTCACCTGCGTGGCCGACAGCGTCGCGCTGGGAAACACGAGCTGCGGCTGCTGCGGCGCGATGCCCTTCCGGTGGGCGTCGGCGATGCGGCACTTGACAATGTAGTCGAGCAGGATCTGCAGCGGCATCTGGCGCGGGGTGGTGCGGGCTACCTTGGCTGTGTTGCTCTGGCCCTTCTTGATGCGCGAGTAGAAGACCATCTGCGTGATTGTCGCATCAATCTCCTCCAGCACAATCACCTTGAGATGGTTTATGTCAATCAGCTTGCGCACAGCCGGGTCCGTGTCCGCCAGGATATCCAGGATGATGGTCGGCGGCGCAATGATGATGTGCGGGCGCCGAAATTCCTTCAGCTTCTGGAGCTGCTCCAGCTCCGTCTCTGTTCCCCGGCGATACAGCACCTGCACAAACGCATCCGGCGAGCTCTTGACCGCTTCACTGTCGCTGTTCTCCAGCATGGCCAGAATAGTGCTATGGTACTGCATGGCCAGGTCCACGTTCGGCACGATCACCAGCGCGCTCGTCGTCGGCTCCTTCGTCTCACTCATGATGGACCTCTCCAGCCCCAGCAGCCATGCCGCAATCGCAAACGACTTTCCCGTGCCCGGCAGCCCGCGCACAGCGACCGAATACCCGTACGACAGCGCTGTCAGCAGCTTCTTCTGCACGGACGTTGGCCGTATAACGTTGGGAAAGGCACGCAGCAGCGTATCGGCCACCACGGGCCGCAGCCCAATCCTCTCCCACGGCCTCGTCTGGGGCCCGAACTGCGCGTGGCTGAGGTCGAGCTCCTCTTCGTATTTCGGCACATCGGGGGAGGTCTGTGGGTCTGGCGCGGAGGCGGATTCTGTGGCGTATAGTCGTCGTGAGACTACGGGGAAGGCTCTGCGGCTTAGGTTTGGGAGGAGGAGGGCGGCGGTGGTGGGGCGGGCGAGAAGGCGTGTGCGGCACTGGGTGCAGATGTAGGATGTCCGGGCTCGAGAGACGGTGGAGAGCATCACATATAAAGGGCCCCTGGTCAGGAGGAGGGTATCGATGGTTGTATTGAGGACTGGGGTGGTATTAAGTGCTATATAGTGAATTGAGCAGTGGCGATAGTGCAATTGACTTGTTCTTTGTCCAGGTGTTGATAGCGAATCTCATCTTGTTTGCCCAATTTTTTTTTTGCGCCACTATGGAGAGGGTAATGCGGTGGGGCAGGTTACCCGCCCGCCGTTTGGAGGGGCGGGCTTGGATTATGTCATGGGTGGGCACTCGATATCCGCAGCATGCAACAACTGCGGTCGGGGGTGTTTTGTAGTGCTGGGCGCATCTTCTTCTTCTTCCTCTCCGGTAGATAGATGTAGACTTCGGTGTCACTCAGTTCCATTCTCATTTCCAGGAGCAGTCTTTAGCCATGTTGAAAATGTAAATAAATAGGAATAACCATCCTTTGGCAAGTAAATATGTATAATCGACCATTCCCTCCCGGGCAGCGTTGGAAATTAAAGCTAGCACTAGCGTACCCTAGGATACGCCCGAATCAAAACGTGTGCACTTTCTCATTGACAGCAAAACAACATTCTCTCCATCTCACTCACTCGCACCCCGGGTTCACACAATATCACTCGGACACACCATTTTCAGCAACAGATGATATTAGAATCTCTTTTGACTCGCAAAGCAATGTGGGTATCGTACAGAAAAGTAACACCACTAATTCATCCACCTCTACTTCTACCCCCACCTCCACCATTCTTTTCTCTCCTTACTCGAGAAGGAGAAGAAGAAATGGCACCGCCGGTAACTTCGTGATAAAACAGAAAGAAAAAAAAAGAAGAAAAAAGGTAAGTAATAATGCTCTCGGGAATCTCAACATAGAAGATTACTCTCATGAGTAACGAGCGGCCTGCAGCAGCCAGCCAGCCCAGATACGCAGTGGTATGAAACACACAAAAAAAAAAAGTGTGATCAAAAACAGAAGGAGAAAAAATATCTCTACATCATTAGATGACGGTGGGAAAGCGAAAAACAAAACAAAAAAAATGTTGACGGCTAATCTCGCGTACCAGGCAGGAGCTCTCTAAGCGGTTGCACTCTCTACAGGTGCGTCCTCATTCTCCCTCTCAACCTCAGCTGCACCCGCAGCCTCGGCATCCATCCCCGCCTCCGCCTCTACCTCGTCTTCATACTCCATCTCGACCGCCTCATCGATAGTCGAGTTTGCCACCGCCCCTCTCAGAGCATCGTCCCTTTCATCGTTTCCGGTGATGCCGCTCTTCATGCTGCCGTTACGCTTCATGCTCGCCTCGCCGAGGTTGATGGGGATGAACTTGCTGGGAAGCTTGACACGGTGGAACTTCTCCCTCAAGGTCTCAACGACATACTTCCAGTCCAGATGGCTCGTGAGGCTCTTCCTCGGTGCGCAGCCGATGCAGTGCTTGGAGTCGAGGCTCATGTAGAGCGGGTCGTTGCTGTGGCACCCGGGGGAGATAGAAACACGGATGCTGTAGCTGGATACGTTCGGGTCGTCAGGGTTCTCGCCGGGCTCGGTCTTAGTCTCGGACTCGTAGAGCTCAAAGCAAATCTGGGTCAAGTAATCCAACTCGGGGATGGTATTCCTTGCCATCTTTGTGGGGAGGCCACCTTCGATGATGCAATTGAGCAGGGTATAAATGTGAGATTCTGAAATTTTGTTATCAACCTATCCAATGCTAACGGCTTGAATGAGGAACTTTACCTTTGGTGAAGTAGATGAAAGACTTTGCGTTCTCTGCCGCCTGGACGTTTTCCAGATCCTTCACAATCTGCTTCAACAGCGGCAGACTGGTCAAGAGCCCAATCTCCAACTTTTCCTCATCTCCGATACCATACTCCTGGGGGGACACAAAGTCAAAAAGTGCCTTGGCGAGCCTATAGAGCTCTCTCAACTTTGAGAGCCTTGTGTCGCTCTTTGCCTTTCCTTCCTCCCTAGTGCTTGCATAGTTCCTCCCCGCCTCTTCCTCTGGTACAATTACTGGCCTCAAACCCGTGCTGAGCAAGCTCCTGCGTCTCAGAGCACCAAGTCTTTCTCTCTTGCTAGAGGTCGCTGGGGGCATAGACCTCTGCTCATCGGTACTCAGGGTGAGTGAGCTCTTACGGCCGTCATCCTCATCAATAACAGCAACCTCAGAGCTCTCAGCCTCGAGCATAGCATCACTCGGCATAAAGATGGCCTCCAGGAACTGGCGGTTGTGAAGTGCGTCATACTTCATGGTATCATAAAGCTCCGAGATCTTACTGGGGTCAACCTTCTCAGGATCACAAAACTCTGCAAACAATTTCTCCCAACGTTCTTTGAATAGCTCAGGGTCCTCGCCACAACACCAACGGGATTGGATGTTTGCCGACGCCGCGAGAGTATCTCTCCCAGCGGTTTCTGGGTCGGGGGATCCAAAGAGGCGTGAATAGTTCTGGAGCATGACACGACGGTGGAATTTCATGAGTGAAACTACCTGCTGAAGGACGACCGCTGGCTCGGGCATATTCTCCTTGGGCCAGGTAAATTGCGGAGGCGGTTTGGATCCTTGACGGAGGAGCGACTTCAACTCTTTCTTGACCTGCGACCCAATAACCCATTAGAGATTGGAGGGAAACCTAATATTTTTGAAAAGAACAGCATACCCTATCCATATCGTCCTTTGCTGCATTCGAGTCATCGAGCAAATCTTTCCTAACACGGACAAAATCATCTGGGACCTTCTGATCCAGGAAGCTCGCCGTCCAAATTTGTGCTGCATTAACATCAGCACTCACTCGTTTATTCTCACTCTTGTTTTAGGCAACATACCACTAGTAGAAACCCGTCTCTCTGAACTGGTAAAAACACTAACATCACCTAGTGCTTCTTTGTTCATCAACAGAAGATCTTTTCTGTAACTCTCTCCAAGGTCTTGGCTCTGATATCTCGCACTGTGCGTAGGTTCGCCTCCCCACTTGATTATTAGCTGCAGTTTCTCCACCGTTGGCTTTGGCCCTTCGGGATCGTTAGAGCTTGAGCTCGAAACCCTCGTAAGGTTATCGGATTCGCTGCTGTCCAACGAAGCTCCATTGCTCCCTGCCTTATCTTCACCAGCCTTTCCTTTGCCCTTATCCTTCTTTTTACCTTCTTTCAAGAATAACGGCTTGATCTGCACCTTTGTTCCAGCAAACCCAACTTTTCTATCTAGCGCATTCTTAAGAACTGCAAGCTTCTCCATGTCCTCTGTCTTACCCTCGATGGCGATTCTAGTGGCCTCAATAACATCTTGAAGTCCTCCTTCGATGAGCATAACCTCCTCAGTATGGCCCTTGAGAAGATCTACAAACGGCTTGGAGTGGAAGGTGAATTTGAACTTCTGCTTGGGCGTCCTATCTGCATGTCTCAAAACAGCTACCATCCCCTTCAACTTCCAACTATGCTGTGGAGCGACAGGCAGAGCTTTTTCGCGGGCCTCCTCGGTCATATTCTCGAGGGCTGCAACAGCCGGAGTAGATGCGGCAGCTGCAACTTCTGGAGTGGGGACCTGGCCCGGGGTAGGATTGGTTGTCGATGCAGAGGTAAGGGGTTGCTGTTGGTGGTGGTTCGATAACCTCGAGGCAGAGGGTGAGCGAGACAGAAGGTTTTGGAGAGTGGATCTACGATTCATATCGCTCTTTTTCCCGCCGCTTCCACGACGGTTAGGACTTTTCTCTGCTGTCGCAACCGCTGTCGCCATAGCTCCAGACTCCTTCAAACTTTCTTTGAGTGCTTTATCTTGGATAGCCTTGATGAACATCTGACGGAGGATAGTAGCGCAGTTGTGGTAGTAGTCGTTATTGTCCTTAACAAAACTCCATCCGTTGACATCGATGACATAGCTCTTGCCATGTACTCTTAACAAGTCGAATCCGCAGACGGCTTGTCCGAATGTCTCGCAAATCCTTGTGGCCATTCCCGCCTCTTCCTTGGAGAGCTTGGTGACGAAACGGATCTCCTTCCCATATGTGTTTCTCCTCACCAAGCCATCCACAACTGGACTCTTCCGCGTTTCCGCATGGCAATACTCTGAACCAACCGTATAGGCCTTTACATCCTCGCTATTGTCGACGTCCATGAACTGTTCATAGATGAAGCTACCCATCATCCTTGGCTCGCTCATGTTCGGGTCGTACTCGCTGCTCTTGTTACCGACTTTTCGGAAGAGCCTGCGCCCTCCCTTGCCGTCGGCAAAGTAGATATGAATGTTGTGGTCCTCACCATTCACCGGTTTCTCCACATAAGGCTTCTTTAATGTCTTTCCGTCCACTGTGAGGGTCTCTCCGTCTTCGGATAGCTCCACCTTTTGGGGCATTTTCCATTCGCCTTGCGGGGGAACTTTGATGCTCGTCTTTAGCTCCATATGGTATGCCAGGTCGCTCGTGAGATATGGACCGCCGTCTCTGGAAACCTCAAGACGTTTTGGGGTGGGAACCTTTATGGAGTCGAGAATCCTAAGTACCAGGCGGCGATCCCAAAGGATCTTCTGCATACGCAGGTCATTGACGCAGTACGGCCGCCGAAGAGTTACGTACGAGATGGCTTTGTCGAGCGGGAAGCCCGATGAGAAGAATGAGATTAAGAAATCACTATTGGACGAGAAACAAACCTACCCCCACGCGATGGGAGGAAAAAACAAATAGTTAGTTAAACGTTGCTCCCTGGTTCAACACGGGTGTAACCCGAGAACCTCGAACCTGGGATCCAAATAATCCAACAACCCAATTAAGATGTGAACATGACAGACAAGAAACATATAAGCCAACGAAAAAGAAAAAAAAAAATTATAAATATTGTAAGGTTCGCCAGGAAAGGAAACATGAGATGAAGATCACCGGGGAAAGAAACATGATACAACCGCAAGAGATCAGGGGACCACGAAACAACTGTCGTTCACTCGATTTTAATGGCTGCATTCTTTTGTCCTTTCTTTTTGTGGCTTTCGCTTCACATGAAATGATAGCTGGCGCATATAAGAAATTACATGTAGGTACCCCCGCCAAGTGTGTGGGGAAAAATAGCAGGCGAGAAAATAGCCGAGATGATAAGGAATAGTAGGAAGAAATAGGGACGAGATATATAAGGAAAGTGCCCACATACCAAGTAGGCCAGTTTTCAACGGCTTGAGTGATAATCTAATGTTAGCATCTGATGCTCTTCCCGATACACAACCCCGGAATGAATCTCATCGCAATAGGGTGCTTCCGGAACGGAAAAAAAGACAAACTATCACAGCGATTGTGGGGGACTTGGACGTGATTCTCACGTGCCCTCCATCGAGGAGAGATTCATGGTACGACAGGAAATGGAAAGGTTTCTTCTACAGGGAAGAACCGTGCGCAATTGGGGAAGTGGGGTACTTTGGGGGAAGGATAACAAAACAGGACTGACCTTCATCAAGAATAACCTTATCCCCAAAGATCACAGTCTCGAATTCTCCGTTTTCAATAAGCCTGTTCAAGATGGTTCTGCACGGCTTGCTCCTGGCCTTCGCATCTAATGCACAAACACCAATTCGGCCTATGACCTTCTTCTTCTCCGGTAGGACCTCATTAACATTAGTAGTACTGCTACTCATTGACGACCTCTTCGTACTCATTCCAGCACCCGGCGGCGATGTCTGCTGTTGCTGCTGTTGTGCTGGGGGGGATGGGGAAGCCTGGACAGGTACGACTCCTTCAGGACGAGACATGGTGGACCTTGATCTTGATCGATGATGTTGCTGCTGTTGCTGTGGTATTTGATGGTGAGGATGTTGTTGTTGCTGTTGTTGTTGTAGTTGAGCAGCGTCCTTCGCATTAGCAGAAGCAAGTTGAGATTGGATCTGCAGTCCCATGCCGTCACTAGTGGATGTATGGTTTGTATACGGGTGAGAGCTCACGTGGACGGGAGAGGTGGCGGTGGTGGCAATGGACAGACTAGCAATAGAGTCCCTTCTCCGACTGAACACTACCTCGCCGTTTTGCAGAGCTTCGGATACATTAGAGTTCGTCAAGCATAAGGTGCTGGGGGAGCTAAGTGACGGAAGGTTCAGGACAGATGACGGCCTTGAGATATTGCTCGTGTCACTCCCGGGGCCAATGCTAAACATACCACCGCCAGCGTGTTCCGACGGACTGAATGACGACCTCTTGTTCCCGCTAATACTTGCAAACGATCCGGGGCTGAAGTTAGACATTGAGGACGAGGAAGCCATAGATTTCTGCACTGCTGCTCCAGCTGCCTGAGTAGAAATGGTTGCAGAGGCAGTGGAAAGGTCAGTAGTTGGCACAGAGGAGCCCAGGGGGATGGAACGGGAAGCTGGAGACGGCCGCAAAAAACTGCTCGAAAAGGTGCTCGTCGATGACGACAGAGGAAAGTATGAAGAATTTAGGAAAGCTGATGTTGAAGAAGACAGCAGGCCGTCTTCTCCTCTATGGCTTTTTCGAGAGGTACTCGGGGTGGGGATTGGTGGAGTTGGCATTGCCATTGTGGGTATATTCTGGGAATTCATTGTTCTAGGGTCGAATCTCTATTCATTAACTCTTGCCCTCTATCTTTCTTTTTATCTTTTTTGTCTTTTCTATCGTTATGTTCCCCCCTTCTCTCCTCTTAGGTTGACTTCGTTGTCGGAGTCGGTGAGCAACGAGTTGCTCAAAATGCTACCCCCTCATCGATCGCAGGACCGTCAGTTACAAGAAACCGTAAAATACATGGCACACACATTTCGGGTATGGTAACATCTGAGGTAATTCCCTCCAAAAATAAAGGAAAATAAAGAAAAATACAGGCTGCGTGAGAAGAAGGCTCTTCTGTCTGCAGGAACTTACGTCTTTCGTTTCCTCGAAGCTCTCCTCTCGCAAAAAGTCTTGGGTGCAGGTCTTGGACGACGTTACTCCTCTGAACGGTATGCTTTTTTTTCCTAACCTTTTTTTTCCCTGTTTCGTGGAAGCGGCAACGAAGTCAAATAAACGGAATTCCCTGCCGACGTCCTGATGAAAAGATGTTCAGAGTAAAGCAGCACAATAAGTATGTAGCAGAGCAGTCTCAGTGATAAAGTTGTTTTTGCTCTCAATCTTGAGCTGAGAGGAGCTCCACTGGAAATTTGGTAGGTCGTTGTTTGTTGCGCTGGCTGGCGCCAACTCCCCTCGGTTGCGGTTTAGCGTGAAGAAGCTGTGTTTAGCCACACGTGCCCCCCTGCCATCGATCTGCAGACCCTGAGTTACTGTTACAGTTTGCGTAAAGACCCTGACAAAAAACAAACTTTGATTCACTAGATCTCCAATTTACGGATTTGGAGCGTGAAATTCAAAGGAAACAACGCATAGGCACTTTTCCCTTCAAAATAAAGCGTTAAAGCATCTGGTCAATCAAAAGCAATCTCAATATAAATTGTGTTGCTGGCCGGAAAAAACGAAGTGCACATGTTTCTGTGCGACCCTAAAAAAAACCGCATTACTTGGCTGCATGGAAAGACTTCGAGAGAGAGTGACTAAGCTTTTTCGATGACGTGCACCATGTAGGGGTTGTGGTATCAGGAAGGTGGTCTCGTGCCTCAGAGCCATTCACAGCGCGGGCCATCAACAGACGTTGTGAAGATGGAACTCCACCACAAGAGGCTCCACTCTCAGCTCAGTCGATTATCAATTGTCGAGCATAATCCTATGAGATATGTATTTCATTAAATATTCTCGTCTACTATGTCCGCGATGATTCTAGCAGTATAGCGTCGTAAAAATCTGGTCGTATTGAGAAATTAGTCTGGCAAAGTCCGATATATGCACATATACATTGTCTACAGTAGCAAAAATCGGGGTGAAATTACTATGGCAGCACTGCGGCATTGTTAAGAATGCGGTTGTAAAGCGGCATTTGCAAGACTGCTAACCTGTGCAGCTTTAGATGCTAACCTGTTCTTTAAATGCCTAACTGCACGTTAACTGCATGGTAGAATAACTTGCGGTTTGGTAGTCTGTACCCCTAGTCTGATACCCCAGCCCTACTAACCACACCATCACGATATATACTTGTATGTAATCATCAAGCTTCACAGTCTTCATAATCATATGTATCATCATCGCCGTCGGTATCACAGTCGATTACATCTTCGTCGCTCACTGCATTATCAGACCAGTATAAAATAAGGGCACATAGAATTAAAAAATTATTTTTCAAAAGTATTCCCTAGATCTTTGTAACCCATTGATGAGGTAGATGAATTCATAGATCTGTTGATGAATTGAGTTATTGTGTTCGGAATCTTGGTGATGATTTAATGTAAAATTGAGATGCTTCAATGGAGATAACCAAAACCCGAGTGTACAGTCAAATATTGCATGTATTCATGCATTCACACTAGTCATTTCTAAAGCAAATACAATCAATTCCTGCCCTCAAATACGGCAGCACTACGGCATCCACCCAAAGGCCGTAGTGCTACCGTAGTGATATCATCCCGTTTTTTGCTACTGTACGCACATGTATGCAATGATTTCAAATGTGGTATATAAATTAAACGGTCTAAACCACCAAGTTTTAGAGACCTCGAGCTCCTCTGAATGTTGAGCCCGTATCCCTTTATTCGGCCTATTCTTCCCGATATTCTAGCATATAGGTACTACATAGTATGTACATACAGACAGAGCCTGGTGGACACAAAAATTGGCTTGTTGAAATCCTGCATTTATGAATCATGGGGTCTCACTCGCGCCAAGCTCCATTGATGCGATATAGACAACTCAAGTCGCGCGTTATGACAAGATCTTCGATATATATATATGGGGTAAATAAATGAAAAAAAATCTCTAAACAATCAACAAACGAAAACATTCAACAAATAATGTACGGGAAGGGTAGTTGTCCTCTGTGGGTACATCCATAACAGCGCTGGGGAAGGATCAGGTGGGTTATAGTTGGCCCCCCCTATAATATTGACTGTGATTTATCATGATATCATAATCAGAAGTGTGTAGGCTACAGGCCTGAGGCTGAGCAGAGAACTCCTCTCCAGAAATTCAGCCTCCCAGAAATCCGCCCTGGTCATCCAGAAATCCGCCCTTATCTTTATTATCTCATCTTTATCGTCTCATCACAGTCCATTACACTTGAAAATGCCCAGGAGAAAACGAGACGCATACGATGATCCGACTCAAATCCTTTCGAAGATATTCTCCGAGATATTATCCTTTTTCAACAACCCGGCATTAGCTCTGATGACAGGGCTATTATGTGCCAGCTGGGTGTTCAGAAGACTTCCAAAGGTCCTAGCAGCGGGTTCGGTAGGTAATAGCAAGGATGATAGAAGCAACACGTTTGAAATCCTCGCAGATGGCACCCAAGATCTTGCAGCCCTTGTAGGGCTCTTTGCTACCGACAGCGTAGAGCGGTATGCCGTGGATTATTCAAGAGGCTACCTTTCCGTGGCCGTGGCAACATGCTCTCTGCTTGGGATTCTGGGTTACGTTCGAGCTCTTGTTAAGCTAGTAATGGGCTCGAGATCATGCCAGGATTCCGCATTTCCCACAGGTAAAGCATCTTCAATTTATCGCAGATAACACAATTGTACAAACTCTAAAACCTAGATAGCACCTGTACGTTCTATACTGGGTGTTGCCGAATCAGATAGACTTCCGAAAGACGAACTTTATACCGTCACCTATATCTCGAGACGACATACGAAAATGCAGAATGGGGAGGAAGCTGTATCTTTCACGGTGACCAAAAATTAAACCATACAGAGGATTCGTTTTTACCGATTAAGATTTTGAAAAGTAGCTGGTGTTCCGGTAAGGAATATACGGATGAGTTTGGAACACGGGTATATGATATGGATTGGCCCCTTACCTATATTAATAGCTGCTTGCGCCGACGAAACTTCGTTTTAATCTATCTTAAGACTTGGGGGTGTCTACTACTTACAGCAGCTGCAACAAGTTTCCTCTTGATTTCACTTTCCAAACACACGGGCTGGGCATGGAGCGGTATAATGGGATCTTATGGGTTATTTGTTTCCCTAGCAACTTCTTCAGTATTATGGTCTTATGTTTATATGAGAGAGCAAATTCCTTCCGCCGCGGCCAGCAACGATCGGGATACCCTACCACGACGATTGAATCATTTTGCCATTATACAACACCCAGGATCAGAACCGCGTGTATTGACAATATGCGATCTTCATGCCACCGATGGAACGTTACAACTGGTCTGTAGAGTTGTATCATTCCTGATGTCAGCGATGATATCTCTCGGGTACATATATACAGTCCATTGCTAGTTACAGTTTAGTGCTTACAATTTGCATCCAGATATATCTGTCAATATATAGAGATAAGAAAGTCCACAGAATTTCAAGCTGCCTGGTGGCTCGGAGCTCAAACGATCCTAGCTTGCTTTAGGGTGGCGGTCTGGATATGGGACCCAGAATTCGATGACTATCAAGATTTACCCATTTATAGTTCAGATCTAGGCCGCGCGTCTATTGAACACCCAGTGCTCGAGAGTATTGAAGTGCAAGACCTTGTCATGATACACGTTTCGGCTCTCACAGAATGTAGTGTATTGGATTTTCCCGTCTCACTTATAAGTCAGCTTGAAGGAATGTCTGCTCTTTCCTTGCTGAAACAAGCGCATGATCTTATGAGTGGCAAAGGGGTGCCGGATCTTGTTCGCCGGATTGGACCGGGTATAAAACGGATAAAAGCATGGCAAATCCCACCGAAGCATTTTTCCGTATGGCTTGGAATCCTGAGTGCGGATTGGGAAAGAGTTAAAAATCCCAAATCTGATTACGGTTGTTTGATTGTAAATATCGGAGGTGATTGTTCTTGGAAAATCACAGACGGGCAGATTATGCTTTTACCGTACGAATACAAGGTCGTAGACGATGTTGGATTGGGACGACGTTCGAAAAAAATCAATGCACGCATTGTGACGTGTGGTAACGACGCTCCTATTATCGAAGTTTCTCAATCTTGGGCCGCTAGCAAATACGAGAGATTGTGGGTTGATGATTATGGACCAGGGGAATATGGGCTTTCGATAACACGTTCCGGTATTAAGTACACGTACGTTGATCCGAGAGAATTGATGGAGGATCTTAGTTCAGTTATTGCAAAAATGGAGTCCAGTACGCAGCCTATATCTAGGCCACAACCAGCAGGAAAAAATACGAGCGCTACTGCTACCTATAGTATACCGACTCCCGGAAACGGAGGAAGAGGAGGAGGAGGAGAAGTGACTATTGAGATCGAAAGCTGTACCGGCGCTATGCCTCAAACGGAACCTACGATCACCCCAATTCGAAGAAGTACCGCCAGTAACCACTCAATGCATGAATAGTGATTAGCCCCGTGGTACTAAGAGTCGTTTGAACATTGATATTCTTCTCTTAATTTCATGGGAGGACTGAGATTGAAGGTTATATCTGGTCGGAGGATTAGAGGATATATGGGGCTTGGATTTGGACCTGGATTTGGACTAGAGTAAATGTTTTTGTCGGAATCGGTTTTGGTAGGATGGGGGAGAGAGACGGATTTAAAAGGCCAGTCCATATGTTGTAAAACATATTATGTTACTTAAGCTCAAAGAAATTATTTACCACAGCACTTTATACTCTCAAGCTCCCTTTTATCAAATCTTGTGCGCACTTTATTGAGCTTTCCAGACATCTCATTTACTTCTACTTTACCTTCATAGACTTCGAGTATAAGTAAGCTTCTTTTATTGCGCTGGGTTTATGTATCTAGGCCTGAAAAACTTTAGGCTCAAGCCTAATTTTCCTCTACTACTGCAGTAATTCGTCTCAGCGGATGGTTACACAGACGTCGAGGTTGCGCGTATGAGGGAAGATTAGGGGGGCGTTTTCAAGACAAATGACCAGATCAAGGAATTTCAACGTCAATGTAAGCGCCCATTGAGACGAATTACTGCGGTATATATAAGTAGTAATTAAGGCAGTAAGTCTCTCTTATAGATGTCCAAAATATGTGGGAATTCTAGAATCCAATGAGCTACAGAACTCTAGATTATCTCTGAGACTATGCCTAAATATCTAAAGAGCTCTAGAGCACCTCATACGTGTAGAATTGTGAGTTTGTCTAATATGTTGGATAAATAGAGTGTAGAGTTGATTAATTACTTCCTTTGAGTCTCCCTTTCCCTTCAGCCAGCGTAACAGCACAAAAGACAATACTCAAGCTAAATTTCGTTGATCAATAGATAGAATCGTACTACTAGGGCTTTTGAGTACCTTTATACATGTACATATTTACATGATCTATAGATATATACCGTCAACTCTCGAATAATCCACTATCCCCGTGTTTGTATGTATAAGTATGTGGTAAGTCCGAACTAAGGCGAATTGGCGTATCAAACTTCACGGATTCGTGCAGATCCACACTTTTCTCACCCGGAATTAAGATTTAACGAAGCGGATATAGTGGATTTCTCGAGAATCAACGGTAGGTCACGTCATAGATCTAGGACTTGTCTGTAGTAACGTTCCCTTTGGTGTATGTATGTATCTGGTATGCGGCCATTTGAGAATATCTAGAAGCGAGGAACAATAGCCATAGGTTCGATTGATATAAATGAAGATCTACTGCTGTTGTTTTGAAGCTCGGATTGGCCGCGGCTCGTTACCATACGTTACTGGCATATGTAAGCGGCGACGTGCCAAGCCCGAGTGACAAAATGTGAGTCGCACCTTACCTGCTCTTGCAGTTGATCGTGCCTGGCTATTGTTTTCGTCATTAAATAAGTTTCAATTAGGCAAGTATCTACAAAAGAGAGAGTAGCTACATGTAAATACATATATCTAAGTAAATACTTCAACCCCCAAATAAATGTTACACCGTGACGGAATATCCCCCTAGCTAGAATAGTTGACTAAGCATGCATATCATACCTGTGGCTTTTTCGCGCCTCGCGTTCCCATCCCACAACACCATCAAGAGCCCCAGCCTTCTTCTCAAGGTACACACTCGTCCCTTATTATCCAGTAACCACCACTGCTCACCATCCATCTCGCCATCCATCCATCCATCGGCCAGGTCCTGACAGCCTCACACTCTCCCTACAATGGACCGCTCCCGCTCGCGCTCCCCCTCCCGTGGCCGCTCTCGCACACGTTCGGTTTCACCACCACGCGGCGGCCGCTCCTTCTCTCCCCGATCTCGCACACGCTCAATTTCCCGATCCCGCAGTAGGACCCACTCGCCCAGTCTGAGGTCTCGGTCTCCGACTAGGAGTAGGAGCAGGAGTGTCGGCAGCAGAAGGAGCTACACAAAGAGCCCCAGTCCGGGATTCCAGAGCTCTAAGGTGAGTTTGTGTTTGATCGATGGAGGAAGGCCTTGGTCGGCTTTGACGGATGGTGAGAGGGTTTGCTAAATTGATGGATTACGCAGATTGTCATCGAGAAATTGACAAAGAATGTTACCGAAGCCCACATCTCAGAGATCTTTTCGGCATACGGGGACATCAAAACAGTAGACATGCCTGTCAACCGTCAATGTAAGTTCTTCTATTCTACCTCCCACCTCTAAAAGCCCTAATACTAATCTCAACTTCTTGCTAGTCTTCACAAACCGTGGTCTCTGCTACCTCGTCTATAACTCTCCCTCCTCCGCCCAGGCCGCAATAGCACACATGCACGAAGGGCAACTCGACGGAGCCACCATCAACGTCTCCATAGTACTTCCGCGCCGCGCCGCAATCTCTCCGCCTACTGGCCCGCCGCCCCGTCGCGGTGCCGGTAGCAATCGCTTCCGTTCTCCTCCTCCCCCACGCCGCAGCGGGGGTGCCCCCATCGCTTCCGCTCCTCCTCGCGCATTCCCGCGCGGTGGTGACTCCTACCGGGGCGCCGCAGCTGGAGACTCCTACCGACCTCGATCTAGATCTAGATCGCCAACGTACTCCAGCAGGAGCAGGAGCCGGAGCCCCTCGAGAAGCCGCTCTAGAAGCCCCTATAGGAGACGCGGCGGCGACAGCGGGAGAGCAAGGAGTCGCGGAAGAGGTGGTGGTGGTGGTGGTGGTGGTGGTAGGGATTATAGTCCACCACCTAGGTCGGGTGGGAGATATACTGGTGGCGGCGGCGGCGGAGGAGGGGCAGCAAGAAGGAGAAGAAGTCCAAGCTACAGCTCGTACAGCACCAGAAGTGACTCCCGCAGCAGAAGCCCGAGAAGACGACGCAGCCGGAGCCGGAGCCCTAGGGTTAGGGGTGGAGGCGGAAGGAGACGCTAGAAGGGGGGCCAATTTGTGAGAGACTGCCCTGCCAGGAATTTTTTTACAAATGGAAAACTGGAGGAAAATAATGACTATGGAAAAATAAAATGTTTTTTACCCCCCCTTCTTTCTTGCTTTGCGTTTTTGTTTTTTTCCGGGCTTTGGCTTTTTTTTTCGTGGTGAGCGCGCGGGGTGTGTGTGTTGTCGTTTTATTCGGTATTTCCTATACTTAAGCCTGATATTATTCCTATTTTCTGCCTCCTTTGCCCGCTGTACACTAAACTATAACTCAATTAAATACGAGTAAATGTGCGCTTTCTAAGGGGTGTGCGAGCTCAGTACCGCTCGAAATGGGTAGAGCGGCCCGATCTTCACGGTGATAGGCGCTTCCTCTACAATATGGAGTACATAACTGCCAAACCAGGCTGCCTCATAGGTCTAACTGTATGTAGGGACTACTCACGGAATCCGACTCGATTCTAGGGTTAGGGATGGATGGTATTGCCGTTGATAACAGGTTTAGTAAACCCTGGGGAGTAATACTAGCAGCATTATGTGGATCACCCAGCACTCTGTATCGCAGTTAAGTAATCACACGACTTCTGCACCACATAATGTTGCACAGTATATATCCTAGTAGGAGTTATATACTAAGGCCCAGCTAGGACTGCGATGGATTACTAAGGCCAATATCCTCAGGCCAGGCGAACAGTCAGTCCTGGGTAGAACATGCATCATATCAAGTGATAACTCGAGGAGTTTCCTCAACCATGGTCCCTTTCTCTTGACCCAATCCTTTCATTACCACCGCTGTCTTAGGAATGCGGGTTCAGGCCGCGCTAGCAGCCTTGGCAAAGAGTCAATGATCTATCTGGCGTCGACCACAATCCGTAGCAGAAACCGCTCTACACATCACACATCAAAAGCAACGTAACGTCTCCAGATCTGCCCAGGAGCCTTCTAAATCGAGGGTTTCACGGCCTAACGGCCTCCACCACGTTATCCCCGAGTGACCACTCATGTCTCCGCTCCCTCTCCGCCACCCCTGGTAGTCCGGGTAATTTCATGCACGGGCCTGTCTTGGTTACATCATAGCGTGTGTGCTGTGGTCGTCGTCGTATCACCACCAAGCACATGCTGTTTCACCAATCCCGCCATACAGGGAAAATCCGGGAAACTCTCAGCTTTCTTCTAGGAGACGGCCAGATTGCCTTTTCTTCCCCGTTTTTTTTTTTTCCTTTCCCTTCCTTTCTTTATCTTCATCATTCAGTCGCAAGCAGGAAAAAATTACTATACACCGAAATTCAAAAAAAAGATAGAGACAACAATTAATTGATCATGTCGGACTCGGGCTCGGACTCGGACGTGCAGGTCTCTGATGCAATCGCTAACGTTTCTGACAATTTGGGCGTGGAATACGTCATCTCTTTCCGTTTCGACGGGGCAGGTACTCGATAGCTCGCTCTTCAGCTTCATGGGCGAGTAATGCTAATAGTTGAAGCAGAGAAGCAGAAAGTCGAGGCCCAGTTCGAGAAGCTCATTGCAGCTCTTGACGGCGTAGGACTTCGTACCGAAGTTCGGGACGGTGCTAATGGTAATGTTTTGGTATTCGTGAGGGTCCGGTCGGAGCAGAAGCTTGTTGGCGAGGTCTACCGATCTAGGTATGTGTGGTGGGAGTCCAGTTGTAGTTGGACGAGTGCTAACGACGTGTGGTGTAGGGTGAAGGATTGGCTTCACGGTGTTAGATCGGCCGCGCCGGACAAGGAGACCCAGAGATCTTTGGATAAGGAGCCGTTGACGGAGGCGGAGAGGTTGAGGATTGTCTGGCAACTTATCACCCTGCCAGAGAGCGAGGGAGGTGCAGGGATCACTCCGAAGCAGGGTCAGTGGGATTTGGTGGAGAGCGTGTTCCCGCTTCATGACCATGAATTCAACAAGGTGAGATGCCACAGCTGTTACCTTTGCGGCGATTTTGAAGCTGATGTTCGATGGTAGGCATGGATGAAACGTTGGTCGACAACTTGGACCATCGGCCCGGAGGAGCTGGGAAAGCTTCGTGATCGGTTTGGTGAGAAGGTGGCATTCTACTTTGCCTTTCTTCAATCCTACCTTTCATTTCTTATTATCGCTGCGGCTATTGGCGCAGGTGCATTTTTCCTCTTGCCTGCATACTCTCTCATATTTGCAATCACAAACTGCCTCTGGAGTGTGATCTTTGTTGAGTACTGGAAACGCCAAGAAGTAGATCTCGCGGTCCGCTGGGGCGTCCGTAATGTCTCCTCTCTCCAGAACCGCCGTGCCCAGTTCAAGCACCACAAGGAAATCGAGGATCCTATCACCGGGGAAGTTGTGAAGTTCTTCCCCGCCTGGCATAGACTCGCCCGTCAGGCCCTCCAGATCCCATTCGCTCTTGGAGCAAGCTGTCTGCTATCTGCGCTTTATGCGTGTGTCTTCGCGATTGAAATCTTCCTCACAGAGGTGTATAACGGTCCTTTCAAAACCGTTCTCGTTTTTCTACCCACGGTCCTTCTCTCTGTTTTTGTACCGGTTCTTACGTCGGTCCTCACTGGCATTGCAACAAAGCTCACCGAATTTGAGAACTACGAGAACCAGAGCGGATACGAAGCAGCTATGACGCAGAAGACCTTCGTATTTAACTTCATCTGCTCGTATGTTCCACTGTTTCTGACCGCGTTCGTTTATGTACCATTCGGGAATCTTATTGTACCTCATCTCGATGTGTTCAACCTCACAACCCCCGAAATCACCACCGAAGGTTTCCTGGACGACAAGCCCATCAATGCCTTCCAAATCAACCCAGATCGTCTCAAGAAACAAGTCATTTACTTCACAGTAACAGCGCAGATTGTCAACCTTGCACTCGAGACTATTGTCCCCTTTGCCAAACGCAAGATCTTCCGCAAGGTCAAGAAGTACCAGAACGCCCGCAACGGTGTTGCCAAAAAAGTAAGCCATGACACTCCCGCCGAGGCCGCATTTCTCAAGCGCATCCGCCGCGAGTCCGAGCTCGAGCATTACGACGTACACACCGATCTCCGCGAGATGGTCATGCAATTCGGTTACCTTACCCTCTTCTCCCCTGTCTGGCCACTTGCAAGCGTCTCTTTCCTCATCAACAACTGGATCGAACTCCGTTCCGACGCCGCCAAGATCTGTGTCGAGATGAAGCGCCCTGTTCCTCACCGCGCGGACACCATCGGGCCATGGCTCAACAACCTCGGGTTTTTGGCGTGGATGGGCTCCATCTCCTCTGCTGCCCTTATCTACCTCTTCTCTGACTCCACCGACGGAACCCCACACTCACTCACCCTGTATGGTGTCCTCGCGTCCATCATCTTTAGTGAGCATATATACTTCGCCACCGCCTATGCCGTTAGATTAGCAATGAGCAAGCTCGAGTCTCCCGGCCTCCAGCAGGAGCGCCGCGAACGATTCCTGGTCAGGCGCAGGTTCCTACAGGAGAGCTTGGGCGTCGACGAAGAGTCCGAGGTCAACGAGAAGGTTGCATTCGGGAAGAGAGCTGAGGGAACATCAACCGAGGAGGAGATGTTCTGGGATAGGCAGCAGGGGCCGAAGAAGTGTGTGGATGCGGGTAAGGAGATTATTAGGGGTGCGCTGGAGAAGAAGGACCAGTAGTGGTGGTGAAATGTGGATGTAATTTTATTACGCTAGGGGCTGGGGGTTGGGGAGAACGTTTTTTTTGAATACCTAGGGTGGCGGCACGCTCTCTCTCTCTTTTTGTTTCTTTTGTCCTCTTGCGAGTAGTGTGGTTGGGATCGGGGGAGGAAGGGTAGTGGTGGGTGTCAGGAGAATGATTAATCTTTTTTTCTTCTTTATGCAAGCGTTGTGAAAAAGATAAAACCTCCTGATGTATTCTTGGGTTAATTTATAGTCACAAATACTTGACTAGTAAAGTGCTGAATAAATGAGTCCGCCTAGTCAGTTAGTTGGGGTTGGCTGGAGGATGAGGCCGTGCTAGTTCCTGGGATATCCTGCCTGAAAAGACTGCATTCTGCACGTAGTAGAACCAGTAATGTAGCTTCTTCGCAACCGTAGGGCTCAGTGAAATAGACCTCACTCCCATGACAAGCGTGATAACACTGGACCCAGTTGAACCCTCAGATGCAATATAAAATTAAACACCTAACATGATAAACGACGATACATGGCTATATAGACCGTAGAAGTTGTAGAGAAGTTCGTCCTAGATTATTTGTGTGTACTTACGTCTGAGGCCTGGTGGAGGGAAGTAAAGTTGTTCAAAAGGAAGGTGGTGGAGATTGTTCTAGATAAGTGATGTGGTGTTTAACTTTGGGTGAGAGGGAAGCCGAAAACAGAAGATGGGAGATGGTAGAGGGCGGGTTGTATAGATTGACCGCCGGTTGTAAGGAAAATGTGGGGTGGATCCGTGTTAAAAGCCCATAGCGGTGATGGATTTTGCCTTATGGTGTATGTCTTAACGGAGTATTTATTGCGAATTATTTATTACATGTATTATATTTTAAAAAAGATCATAACCCGCCACGACAAAAGACTTACGCTCGCCAGGCTGCTTTCTTCTCATCCAAGGGTCCCAATCCAAGGTTGAGGGAGTCGGGAATCGAACTGCTAACCTCCCATCATCGGTACTAGTCGCTGAGTTACCATACTCTTTCCCAGTCCGGTCGGCTTCTGCATTCTACGTCTCTACGCCTCTATGCCAGACACACGTCTGCTAGGTGAGCCTCGCTTATTCTAATACGCACCCACCGTCTCGCGACCTCCGACTCCTTTCTGTCAATCAATCAATGCGACCCCTCCCTACCCCATATTTCGTCGAGTGATACCCCATGATCCGCCACCCACCACCCACCACCCACCACCCACCACCCCACCTCTCTACCACCCACACCCAACAACCGACACAGCAACCACAACGTCCACCCATCCTCATCAACCACCCCACCCCTCACTCCCTGCCAACAACATACACCATCCCCACCACAGCGAAAACCTAACCCATAAAATACTAATCTACAAACCACAGCCCAGAGCTATTATATAGCGATCGACATTCAATATAGCGACCAGCGCTCAGACCCGCACCCACTCCAAGACACCGCGAGTGACAACCCGTGCGCCAAGTCTCCCCACCCCCTCCTCCTCCTCCGTGCCCCACCACCGCCCCACCATCGCCAAGATTGCGGGTTCGGGATCCCACCTGCACTGATATCTGAGATCTCGGGCGACCGGGCCTGTCTCATGATAGGACCGGGCCTGTTTTACGCTCGGAAAAACAGTGTTCTATGCCTCCCCGAAGGGTCAGTGATGGTGGCACGGTCTGGTCTGCTTGGCCAAGGTCTGGCTTGGCCGTAGTCTCTCGTCGGGGACCGGTCCGGCTTCTGTGTGCACTGTGAGGCGGCGTCAATTTCCGGCGCTGTTGGATCGGCGGGTTTGGCATCTTGGCTGTTTTTGAGGCCTGGTCTGGCCGGTTGCTCAGTCAGTAGACTACTAGCTCTTCTAAAGGTACGTACGTGGTAACAAGCACTCGACACTCCCCATCTCCCCGGGGCTCAGCAGTAGGTATTATGATGAAGTAGATATATTTTGTATCTAGGGCTACATATAAAAAAAGGGTTTAAGGACCGTGTAAGTTACAGGCTTAAAAAAAACCGCTGATTACTCCGACAAAAGACTACACCGCTGCTACCTCCCCCCTAGAAAAAAACACCTAATCTAGCTTTGCGCAGCAAAGTATATACAAAATTATAGCAAAACAAAGGAAATTAAGCGCATTTCCCGCTCTGGCAGGTCAAGTCGTCCGAGCAATCGTTCTCGGTCGAGCAGCTAGCGCCTGCACAATGGCCGGGCCATGAGCAAGTGGCACCTCCTGTTGGTTGAGATTTCCTGGTGGATGTGACAAGAGTTGTGGGAGCCGGGGATCCAGCACGAGAAGTAGGAGAAGATGCTACGCTAGTAGGGTACGGTGAATTACCAACGAAGATGTCGTTCTGGGCGCCGTTGGAGAAACCCCATGCTGAGTTGTATGAGGGCTTGTGTGTGTAGACACCATCAAAATCGACATTTGGGTCGGCGTTGGCCCAGTACATAGGCTGCTTGGGACCCGAGACACACCCACCATTGGGGCAATATTTTGGCGCCTGACCTGCACCTACCGACTTGGTGGAGGTTGACCCAGTGATAGTGCAGTCAAAACCGGTCATGTACATCTCGTCGGCACTGGCTTGTCCCTGCCAGAACCATGCACAGACACACTTTCCGTTCGGGCATTCCGGCATATCTGCCGGCACATCGAAAGAAGTGTGAAGGTTGTCAACGCAATCAGTGTTGACTGAGAAGACCGTAAAGTCCGATGGAATGACAGACGCAGCAGAGTCCTTATATGCGATTGCAAGACCACACCCAAGGATCTCTGAGTTTTTGATAGGGGTGCCGGCATGGTAAGAAGGGATATCGTCGGGGCAGGCAGTGACGCCGTCACCAGCGTTTCCGTAGGAAGTGAACTGTTTGTTGCAGGAGAGTTCTAGTGAAACCGAGCCACCAGCTGGGAGTTCCATGGGCGCTCCACTACCGGCCTTTCCAAGGTTACCTGAATATGGTGAGTTAGGTTTCTGTAATCTTATATTAATGATGCAGGGTATGCGTACCATGGAACCACCAGTCATTGAACGATTGACCGCTCAAGGGTGTAACGAGACTGTAACCATCACCATCAAAATCGTAGGCAGAAGGGTGGAAAAGTCCCATATGACCGAACGCAGTCGGGATCAAGGCAAGAATAAGTGCTTTGCTGAACATTTTGTATGTTTATTGTAGTATGGTGGTCTCAAAAAGTTGCTTAAAGATTGGAATGAAAAAACGTCCGGCGAGGCTTTTTTGTTTGGAAAGAATGAATAAATCAAAGAAGGAATGACTGACTTGCAGTTCGATGTTGATGTTGCTGGTGGTGGTTGAGTCGGAGGAATAGAAGAAAGAGGCCTCTTATATCATAGTAAAAAAAAGAATTAGCAGTAGAACGAGGTTCACACGCTGATAGGCCAAGATTTTGACTTAGAACTGTGCGTGCAGCTAGCGCCCCCGAAACCTAGATGTTAAGAAACACAAAGCTTTGCCCCCTGCATATTTCAGCGGTTACTCGACATTGGGTAGGTTACGTCGAACATCTGATCCCCAGCGCCCCAATTGTAGGGGTCATTACCGGCATGGACGATGCTCGGATGTTATGACAAACCAACTAACCAGCCAAACCCGGAAGCTGTCAGCTTCCTAGCAGCTGAGTGCAGTGCCACAAGTGAAAAAAAAAAATCCCCCCGAAGCCGGACATCCCCTGCCGACGCAGTCAATGGTGCGACTTCAAACCTTGGCTTTTTTCTTCTTGGATTTGCATTCTTCGAGTCCAAGAATGATCTCCGGGAGTTGAGATTTTACTCAGAGTTAAGGTACGAATCTGGAAATGATTCCTGGGGGGATGGGATTACTGGTATTGGTAGTCTTCGGCGTTTGGTGGGTGCGTATCCAAGGAAAGCTGACTTCCTTATGGTTGATTAGAAAGTATTCCGAGTGAAATTCAAGCTTAAATGATAGGATATCATCTGCATACGGGACGGGATGTATCCTGGATATGTGATGAGAACGGTACCTGAACTATTCTGCACTTGGACGGCTGCCTTCATCCTGGCAAATCAGTGACTGTTATTTGCTAGCGGGCCAATGATGATGCAGGAACAGAACCTCTTGACATATGCACTCAAAGGAGGTTCTCGCTTCTTGAAACGGATTGCGCTCTTGGCCTTTTCTGTGAATCCTCTTACCAAAAGAGGATCACAGGAAGGAAAAAGTAAACTTCTCATGCCTTGCATGAAGAGAGTGCATACATCTCGTAATCCATAGAGAATTCAGGTACCGTTCCATGATTCGGTACGTATCTTTCTTCCCGACCCGTCACACTGGCACCTACCTACTCTAAATCCTTTTGACTCCGAGCTACCGAAACCAAAGGCCTTTAATCCAGGTGTTTCAAAAACCCCTCCCATGTCCTGGTCACTCGATACGAGCGCCACGTTCCAATCCAGCCCTATCTACTCGCCTCGGCTGTATCCGACCTTGAAGAGGGAAGGCAGTTCCGCTATTTGCTGCAGGTAAGAACCTATTGTGACGATATGATAAGCAGCGTACTCCAGATCTAAAGTTGATACCCGCGAAGAGTTGCTGCACAGTAATGCTGGGTTTTTAGGCTTCTGCGCGGCGCAACGATGGATAAAAAAAAGATCTCGCTCTAATTTTTTCGATGAGTAAAACATGCATTTTTCCTGTTTTGTGAAGAAATGGGCAAAAACCATTGTGCCACATGAAATAAGCACTTACTCTCTGGAGTTTCTGCCGTGCCATGATCACTGACTGCATAATACCCCCATGGTGTGCAATGGGGTGGAAACTGCCAGGCCTGGCAGGCGATGTCCACTAATCAACACAGTAGAGTAGTAGGAAGTTCCTGGCACCACACGTAGTCAGAATAGACTTAAGTTTGGAGACGTTGGTACTGAGTTCTTAGTGATCGGGGTTGACTTTCGGTAGTTTCGGCTTACGGCAATGGGCCTATCAACTCGGCAATGCTTTCCTCCAGCCAGTGAATCACA